TCACCCTAACTCATATGCCAAAGTATTAAATAAGGAATTTGTTTTTAACCAGAACACAAGAAAGAAGAGCTCTGTAAGAGCTCCTGTAAGAAGATTTTCGAGGTGCTAAGAGGAAAGCTTCTAGATGTATCACAAAGGTCAAATTTCTGAGACTTAATAAGAAGCTCCAGCGAAAGAAAATCTGAGCCAAAAGAACTGGAGTCCCATTGATGAACTTTATGCTGTGTTACTTAGGAAATTTTGCTAACCTCTCTGAGCTTCAGCTTGCTCACCTGAGAAGTGGAGAGGAGAGCCCTATCCTGTTTTTGTCGCAGGGGCTGTATCTACCACTACGAGACCTAATGGAATTGAAAAACTACTCACTTGCAGACTCTCTCCATAGTCCCCTTAGGATGACTAAGGCTGCCATGAACAGTTTCCTTGGAATACAGTAAGTTCCGGTCATCTTGACTCTAGTCAAGACTTGGCTCTGGACCCAGCCTCTCTCATCTGCTTTTTCCAGAATCAGATCTATGGATGTGGGGCCTTGAAAGTTGGCCCTTTCTAGATTTGGGTGTGCCTGAGTCTTCTCTTATGGCAGAAAGCAAGAACTAAAGAACCTCTTGATGAAAGTGAAAGAGAAGAGTGAAAAAGTTGGCTTAAAACTCAACATTAAGAAAACTAAGATCATGGCATCTGGTTCCATCACTTCATGGCAAATNGAGTTGGTGATGGACAGAGAAGCCTGGCATGCTGCAGTCCATGGGATCACGAAGAGTCGGACACGACTGAGCAACTGAAGTGAACTGAGTTTCCCCTCTTGGGGATTCAGGGATTGGCTGCTGAAGGACTTGGAGGAGGTTTGATGCCTCTTTAGCAGCACATTGCGGAGCCTCCAGATTAGCGGAGGCCCTTAATAGGCAGCCTGCATGACTTTTAACCACCTGACATACACATGAAAATATGATTTCCCAGTCCTATCCTCCCTGAAGTTCTGATTCAGTACAATGGATGTGGCCTTTTAAGTAAGGTGCTGATTTGCTTCTGGTATATGTGCTCTGTTGAGTTACATACTTAAACAGAACTACTGTTGAGAATTGGGGTGCTTCAGTTAAAGAGATATTCAGGCTAAGCTAGTTGTTGTCATGTTGTCATGAACTTTTCAAGACTGAGAATGTGATATTTAAAAAATAATTTAGCCTTTGGTGCTTTGCCTCAGGTGCTATTGTACTGTAGGCTGAGATAATCATTATTTAGAAGAAAAAACAAGTTTTGGGGTGTTTTTCACTTTCTGATTGTTTGGATGTTGGTGAAATGAAAATTTGACCCAAGGTCTTGGAAACGTTTGTTGCTATTATCTCTTCTGTCCTGACGTTTGGCAAAGTGAGATGAAGAGCCTGTGGTACTCTTTTCATAGATGGAGAACTTGGTCAATTTCCTGGGCTTAAAAAAAACAAACGCATGAGTGTGCATTATTTTGCTGTTTCGAAGTGTCTGTACATGCATTCCTTTACTCAACCTTCACAGGAAACTGTGTGCAGGTAATAGCATTGTCTCTGATCTGCAGGGGAGGGAATCTAGGCACCGGGCAGTTATGCAGCCTGCTGAAGGTCACAGGATGAATGAGTGATGACAGCAGCACTGACTGCCTTCTGTGGCTCCTGCCATCACACTCTATTCAACACATCCACGGGCCTCTCTAGAGGCCTCTGAGACTGGAACCCGGAGACTCTGATTGTTGGGGAATCAAGCTGTTTTTTCCAGGCCCGTGGATGTTTCTCACAAGATTTAAGATCCACTGTGACTGTTTGCCAGCTCCGTCCTCACGTCACTTCCCAAGCAGGGAAAAATGAAAAGAAACCTGCTTCTGATGGTTCCTCTTGGACTACTGTGATTTAACAAGGATAGATGGCAACTTAATTTAAAAGAATGGAGGTAAAAACAGTAGATAGAAGTGACAAATGGACACTGCCCACATACGCGACACCCTCCTCCCGCCCCCTGCCCCGCTCCCCGGCTGCCTCCTTACCTCCTGTCACAGCTCTGTGTCTGGCACCTTTGTCTCCCCCCACCCCCTGCAGGGCACCCAGGGAGGCGGGGTGGTGAGCACAGACAGTTGTTAGGATTTATGGGGCCGGTGTAGTCCCTCTTCCCACCCGCGTGGTAGGGAGGGGAGGCAGGATCCGTTTCCTCCTGGGTAAACATTTTCACAGGAAGCATTTATCAAATGTCAGCAGGGCAGTGCTGGGTCTGGGATCAGTCAGGCAGGATCTGCTTCTCTCCTGCTCTCCTGGGCGGGCGAAGGCTGTGGGGTTTCTCTGGCCTGTTCACACCCTCTCTGTCTCGTGGCCCGTCTTCTCTCAATGAGCTGAGTGATGGGAGCAGAGAACAGATCCTAGTACACCCTGGGTCCACTCCATCCTTTTTAATAAACAGGGTTTCTGCCAGCCTGAGCCCTGGGGTTCCTGCAAGCCTGAGCCCTGTAATGAAATGGACTGTCCAGATCCTTCTAGAAGAAATGCTGATAAGGAAATGCCTGGAAAAGACCTAAGCAAATAAAGCTCCATGACTCCTCAGGGGCTGGCCTGGGCTGGCCTTGTACTTTGAAACCATCTCCCTTCCTCCAAGGAGGGGACTTGTACTTGACTTTTCAGGTTGGGGAAAGTTGGCCAAGCAGGACCCCTGATTCAAGGCTCTCTCCTGGATTTTCTTTTCCAGTCTTTCTATAGGTGCAGCAAGTGAGAAGCCTTCCCTCACCACACCTGCTTTTCCCTCATGCTGCCTACAACCTGTCATCTTTTCTTCTATGAGAAGCAGTATGAAGTAGTGAAGAGGTAAATCTCAACTCTGATGGTTATTAACTGTATGACCTTAGGCAAGTGGCTGCACCTTCCGGGGCCCAGTTTCTTCATCCATCATTTCTTTTTGTAAATTAGCTGAGAAACGTCTCTGTTGGCACTGGGTGAGATGTGGATAAAAATGTTACCTCCTTACAGGTTTGTTGTAAAGACTAAATGAGACAATTCAGGGAAACACTCAGCAACTCATAGAACAGGGACTCGGTAACTGTGAGCAAATACAGTTATCCTCTCTCATTGTTTCCCATCTGTCTTTGGAGAATTTGAAAGCCTGTTGGTAGCCTTCCAGGCCTCCAACCCTCATGTCATCACATAGAACCCTGTTGCCCTTTTCTCTGGATCAAGGCTGTTGTCTCCCCAGACTTCTCCGTGGAACCACAGCCCGTCACTCACACACTCGGTATTTTGACCATTCAACAAAAAAAGCATGGAATGCGTTCTTTGTGTAGCAAAGAGGAATAAGAAAAGTCAGGGAGGGGGCTGGGGGCAGCAGAATACATCACCAACTGCAGCTCAATCAGAGACAGAGGTGAGACTCTGAAAGGGCAGTAAGTAGCGCTCCTTCTGGGGAAGAAGTGGTTATTTCCAGCCAGGAGTCTGAAGAAAGGCTTCATGGAGGAGGAGCGACTGGGCTGTGCTTTGAAGGAGGAGGAGGGTCAGTGGGTCCTGCGGAGGTGGGAACATGCTTGAGCTGGGAGTCCTGTCAAGCAAATGAAACCACTTTGGCCCAAGGAGATGAAGTCTTTGGTCTCTGGGCTCTCACTTAATTGTGCAGACATTTTAAAGCTTCCACTTTGGATTATTGGATTGCCAATAATACTTGTGTGTTATCTTTCACATACATGCTGCGTAAATCACAAAAAATTGAGTCAGAACAAGAATTCTTACGCCTACTTTGTAGATGAGGAAACTGTGACTCAGCAAAGTGAAGGGTTTTGACTATGTACATAAAAGTGGCCTGTGAGAACTCAGCTCTCATGGCTCCAAGTCCAGAGCAGTTTCTGTGGCATAAAACTGCTCCCACTTCCCCCCATTACCCCCTCTCCCCAAATCCTGTTGACTCATCCCACTTCACCCAGGCTGGTAAAGTTGGTCTTTGGAGGCAGAAGAGCTCTGAGCTGGTCCCTCAGACTCAGCTGATGCCGCTTCAGCATTTGCCAGGACTCTGCAGTAACATCCTTAGATATCCTCCTGCTTCCATCGGATGGCCTCCAATCCATCTTCTATATTCATGTCTGTGATAACCTTGCTGAAGCTGAGATCTGACCATGCTGCACTCTTACTTGAAAACCTTCAGTTGTTATCCTGTCTCTTATAGGACCAACCCCAAATCCTTCACCTGTTCTTCCAGGCCCTTCAGGATCCATCCTGCACTTTTGGCCTCTCGCAGATTCCTTCCTTGGGCTTCCTGTGTGTGAGAGGCTGAATTTCTTGCGGTTCCCCAGATGCTTCAAGCTGTCCCTCTCATAGTTTTGGGCCTACAGGGGCTCAGAAGCCAGACTTCCTGGTTATAATAGTCAGACCCACCACTTGAATAGCTGTGAGAGTGATTACAAGTGCTTCAACAGCACTGAGTCAGCTTCCTTATCTGTAAAATGGGGATGATCCTAGAACCCATCCTGGGAGGATGTGGTACAGACTCTTCTTCATAGATATATGATGATTAGCCCAAGGTTTGGATCATAGCAGGTGTTTAATAGATACTGTGGGGTTGCTTGCAGTGCAGGAAAACTTCCCCTGACTGGTGAGTTTCCTCTGCTGGACCAGTTCTCTGGCCCCTTCTTGTGTTGCCTCCTCCAGGAAGCCTGCCTGAACTGCCTCTTGGGAGTGCCTCTCACCCTCTCTCCCGTGCTCCCAGGCGCGCCTGCACGAGTCTTTTCTGCACTCCTCCCCCCGTAATTGCTGGCCTGCGTGGCCTCCTCACCACACTTAGAGCTCCTTGAGGGCAGGGTGTCGTCTTTGAGAGCTGGGGTCACGTGTGAGTCTCTGTGGTGCTTGCTGAGTCCAGCACGACCCTGACACGTAGGAAATGCTCATCCCAGTGTGTGGAGGGGGCCCTCGGTGTGCAGGGCTGGCACTGAGGGCCCCTGTCAGTGGCCCCGTCACTGCTATGTTGGGTGACTGACCCTGGACACCTCTCTCTCTTTCTTGCCCTGGAAATAGAATGGATGACTGGCCTCCCTGGTCTGACAGTCCCCAAAGACCACAGTACCTACAGGACCACACAGATACCACCCCGGAAGGTATGACAGTCTTTGCCAATGAAACAGTTAATGTCTCATCACGACATGTGAGCCTGGCGTGGATTTACCGGGACGTCCGAAGGCTCACCACAGAGCCCAGCTGCCTTCTGAGGCCCTGTGCTTGTGTTATGCTTGGCACAATGTATTCTGTTTCTTAAAGATGTGCCCCCAAACCATACCAGCTTCAAGACCCCTGAATCCCGACGGCCCTAGAGCTCATCTTTCCCTACCTTCTTCTTCGTTTCTGGGGCTCCGGGTCCGGGGGAGGACCAGGAGCCAGGCCCCTCCCCTGGCTTTCCCACACTCCCCTGTACTGAAAGCAGCTCTGGGAGTTGCCAGCCTCCACGCAGAGCCCCTCCCGTTGCCCTCACCCACGGCTCCCTCAGGTCTTTTAAAACCTCCCGGTAGGCTTGGCGCTGCACCACACCCACCCCTCCGCAGGCCTGGGGGCGGCCTCCTGTGAGTGCAGGCCTCCTTGGACTTTGGGCCCTGTGGCGCCTCCCTTCCTGGGCCGCACCTCCAGCCTCATCCACCACAACCCACATCCACAGCTCCCACTCCAACCTCCAGGGCAGCCCTGTGGGTCAGAAAGTTGAAGTCCCTTGACCTGTACCCATGGGTGGGAAGAGGGAGTAGGGGGCTGGCGGGGTGATGTCAGATGCATTCAAACCATTTCCTTTGAGAGGAAGTGCCATTTTCATAAATACGCTATTTGGAGGCTACCTACACACACCCTGCAGGTCACAGTTCTCAGTCCTGGTTGCACTTTTGAATGACTCAGGGAGCTTGAAAATATACAGGTGCCCGAGTCTCACTCCAGATTGTGTTCTGATTGGTGTGGGATGCAGCCGGGCACAGGCATTTTTAAATCTCACCAGATGATTCTATAAACATGAGGCCACGATTGAGAATCACTGCTTTGGGGAACAAGTATATGTTCTGTAAATATGAAGGCAGATGAAAACTAAGGGTTTGGAGCAAAATGTGTCTGAGCATGAGCAGCATACCCTTGCTTGCTAAACTTGCCTCCCTGAGTTGACCTGAAAGAAACACTGTTGCCCCCCAGGCCCTGTGTGTGGTGGGGAGAGGCACACTGGCTCAGGCCACCCCATACCTCCTGGAGGAGTTTTAACGTAGAGACGCCTGGGGGAGCAGAGCCAAGCCTTCTTTATTCTGTAGTGACCTGGGCCTGAGGCAGAGGTCACAGGCTTGCCCGGAGCTTGGGATGAGTGTTCATATTCCAGCCGAGCCCCTAGTGCTGCCCCACCTGTTCCTCTCCTGGATCCTCAGCTCAGAAACTTGTACCGTCGTCGTCTTGGCTGTTCAGTCTCCCCAGTTCACTCACCCTGGACTCTACCTCGACTTCCATCCAAATCCAGGTGGTCCCAATGCTCTGTGTCCTCCTCCACTAGCATCTGCTAGAAGCCCTTCCTCCCCCACTCCCTGCCCAGGCCTCCCGGGTTCTCTCTTGATGTATTGGAAGTGTACTAGAAGACTTTCTGCTTTCTCTTTCTACATCAGATCATATTCCTGTCTTAGCAAGTCTCTTCCTTTCTTTTTTTGAATTTATGCTGAAGTCTGGTTGATTTACAATGCTGTGTTAACTTTCTGTTGTATGGCAAAGCAACTCAGTTATACATACATACATATATATATATACATTCTTTTTCATATTCTTTTCCATCGTAGTTTATCACAGGATATTGAATATAGCTACCTGTGCTATGAAGTAGGACCCTGTTGTTTATTCATTCTATATATAATAGTTTGCATCTACTAAACCCAGCCTTCCAATCCATCTCTCCTTCACCGCACCTCCCCCTTTGGCAACACAAGTCTGTTCTTTATGTCTGTGAGTCTGTTTCTGTTTCACAGAGAAGTTCATTTGTGTCATGTTTTAAGTGATATCATATGGTATTTGTCTTTTTCTTTCTGACAGGAAGTCTCTTCCTCCCCCCCCCCCCCCCCCCACCCCCTTTCTCAAAAGCAGTCTCCAAGAGCCAAAACCTCCTGTGAGTTCCCTTGACACAGCCCAGTTGTTCTTAATGTGTCTTCCGAGGACCAGCAGCATCAGTGTCTCGTGGGGACTTGTTGGGAGAGCAAGCTCTGGGGCCCCAGCACAGGCCCACTGAATCCGAGCTCTGAGGGTGGGGCTGGGTAATCTGCTTTAACAAGCTCTCCAGGGGCTTCTGCTGCGTGGCCCGGACAACCGAGTCCACATTCCCGAGTGTGGCATTCATGGTCTCGCACGCTTCAGCCCCAAATGACCCGTTTGTCCACTGCTCAACTCTTACACCTCCCACATCCCTTCCTGTGGGACTCTGCTCATTCTGTTCCCTGCCTTGCAAAGCCTTTGGCCACTTCCAAGTATCTAAATCCATTTCTCCTTCAAAACCCAGCTCAAACGTCATGTATTTTGGCAGGTCCCAAAGATCCTGCCTCCAGGAACATTCTTCCCTCCTCTGACCTCTGTAGCATTCTTTTCTTCCTTTCTGTCTCTCTCCCTCCCCTTTCTTTCTCTTTTTCTGAATTTTACCTTTAAAGCAGGGTTTCTTTCAGCCATGATTATCTATTTGGGACTCAAAAAAAAAGAAAAAGAAATGTATGCTCAGGCCATACTCCAGAGCAATTAAATGAGAATTCCAGGATGAAGGCTGTCATCATGTATTTCAAAAGTTCCCCAGATAATTTTAATGCCTACCCAAAATTAAGTCCTTCTCTCCTAAAGTGACCACAGGGGAAACTATGACAGGAAGAGAGATGAATTTACAGTTAAGAGACCAGGCTTTGCTCCCAATTGACCGTTAAACTTTGGGCGGGTCACTTGCCTGTCTGAGCTGCTGTTTCCTAAACTGCCATTTGGGTCAGTGTTTTAGATTGGGGGCTCTCAAAGTTGGCTGAGGGCTGATCCCACTCCTAGAGATTTCCTTTTAATGGATCTGGAGGCAGCCTGGATTCTAACATGTAGCCAGTGTTGAGAACCACACTTGTAGATCTTATCTAAGGGCCATGAAATGGTGTCTGGTGGTTTACTTTTAGGAGCAAGGATGCCTGCCTGTTCAAATACACAGACTTCTCTGCCCTGGCACCTACTAAATTTTCCTTCCCAATAATGAATGCCCACCTTATTTCAGTGATGAAGGTCACGTGAAGTTTCCTTGTCTGCTGCAGGACAGCCAGAGATAGTTGAATGGAAGGTGACCGTGTTGGGTGTGTTTGTCCATGTGGCAAAAGGAGGATTAAGGATCAGATGAAAATCCTCACCAGAGGCCAGGCAGAGAGGGTCACTGAAGGGGCCCATTCTTTAGCAACCTTTATGTGTCTCAGCTCTGAAAAACCCTGTCACACCAGCACAGAGGGAGAGACAAGCTTTCCTTCACAGTCAGGTCAGGGGCTCATTTAAAAGCAATCATAAAAGGAGATCTCACTAGGACCAGAAGAACGGGAAAGTTATGGAAGCAACCAAAATGTCCATCAACAGAGTAATGGATAAAGAAGGATGTGGAAGATATATTTGAGTGATTTTAATAGATAATCATGGTTGAAAGAAACTCTGCTTTAAAGGTAAAACTATATATGTGTATATACAATACATATATAACAGAATATTACAACAATAATACACAACAGGATATTACTCAGCCATAAAAATATGAAATAATGTCATTTGCATTTGCAGCAGGGATGGACCTAGAGATTATCAGACTAAGAGAAGTAAGTCAGAGAGAGAAGGACAAATATTATAAGTCACTTATATGAGGAATCTAAAATATGACACAAATGAACTTATCTGTGAAACAGAAACAGACTTACAGATATAGAAAACAAACTTATGGTTACCCAGGGGAAAAGGAGTGAGGGAGGAATAAATTAGGAGTTTGGGATTAGCAGGTACAAACTACTGTATATAAAACAGGTAAACAACAAGGTCCTACTGTATTGCACATGGAACTATATTCAATATCCTGTAATAAACTATATGGAAAAGAATATGAAAATGAATATATATATATCTCTGAATTACTTTGCTGTGTACCTGAAACCAACACAACATTGTAAATCAACTATACTTCAATTTTGAAAAAATAAGGGGTAAAAGACAGGATGCACCAAGAGCAGTGGAGGTCTGAAACTGGATGAGACGTCGGACTCCAGCTAGAGGAAGGCAAAATGACCCAGCTGCGCAGGGAGGGTGGAGAGGAGGAAACGGCCTGCTTATTTAAGGGGTGGGGGCAGGGAAGGGAAGTGAATTCTTAGAGCAGCACCTCTCTGATGAAGGTGTTACTGATCCCCAGAGACACCCAGCAGCCATCCACAACAGGCCCTCTGTTTATCTGCACATCAGGTTGTTGCCCAAAGAAAACCAGCCCAAGTTCAGGGGAGCCCAGAGCAGGGACCCTCCACCTCAGGGCCAGTGGAAAAATGAAGATAATCAAGATGGGGGGGACAGTCCCTGAGGTCTTCATCCCCTCCCCCACCGCCCACATTGTACAATGAACCCCTTCTTACCCTGTTCTGTTCTTCCACACCCTTCCCCACAGTGGTCCCTTCTCCCTGGAGATAGGCTGGTCCTAAGTCTGGCTGCTGCAGGAGCGGGGAGGGGCCGTATTTTGCAGTGAGAAGTGATGCTGCCTTGGCCAGAATTGTTTGCAGAGGAGGAGACAGTCCTGGGGGTGTGATGTCTGGCCCAGGTCAGTCTTGAGAGCCAGGACAGAGGTCAGGCCGTCTGTCTGGAGCTTGGAGCACTAGACCATACTTCCTGATGACTTTACAGTCTAAGCCATAGAGAAGGAAAATGCACAAGGAAAAGGAGCTTTGTTTTGACTCTTTGACGATGGCTGGGACCAGCTCTTCCTGCCAGGGGGTGGAGTTGGGAGGAGGTGAGGGTGAGGATGAAGATGTCACAAGGCAGCAGGTGTGACATGTCTTCAATCCCCTTCCCCCCTTTCCCGGTTTCTGCTGAAGGCTGAGGGGGTTGTTCCCTAAGGTTAAGGTGCCTGGGATGCTCAAGGCAGACTGAAAGTTTTGGGGTTTGAAAGTTGGTCAGATAGAACTTTTTGGTCCCAAAAAGGGAGAGAAGTCATAAGTCACCTATCCAGAAGGCTCAGCATGAATTTGGAGGCATCTATCCTCTTTGCTAGGCCATCCTTTTGTCGCCTTTGAAGTAAATGGGTCAGAAGGGCCTCAATCCCATTTCCCTGGCAAGGGCTGGGTGGGAACAAGAGAACTGCATCTCAGGTTTGGTGTGGTTAGTGCTTCAAGTGGATGGGAAAAGGCCAAGAGGCATTTTCAGACCCCTAGATTTTTAAGTAGTGGAAGAATCCCAAAGTTGGAAGGGAGCTTAGACTAATTTAGTATCTGCCTGCCTTGGGTGGCCTGACCTGCCGGTTTTTCAGGTGAAGAGACCAAGGACCTGCAGGGTGAAGTTCTCCAAGGAGCTGTCAGCAGTCAGGCCCACAGCAAGCTTGCCATCCTCAGCCCCAGGCACTCGCTGTGGCTCCCTGGATGCTTCCTCCTTGGGACTCAACTCTGGCCCTTTGGCTTGCTCTTAATATCCCGGCCCTCTGGAAGGGCCTTCTCCAGCTCTTAACCACACTGTCACTCAA